TTTATTGATATTTTATAATATAATCTCTTTAAAAAAATAATATTTAAAACGTTAATTGACGATCCGCAAATAAACGAGAGAATTGTCGATCAATTTACAAAATGAGGAAAATTTAAATATTGATTTTGAAAAAAAAACAAATAATGGGAAGATAAATATACTCGATTTCTTATAAATATAGTCTTGAATCATAAATTATTTGGAAAAAAATACGGACAGTATTTTATACAATCCTTCATTCTCAATCAACAAAATTATGACTAAACAATTGGACCAAAATAATATTGAAATAGACTCTCATCCAATCCATCAACATGATAATGACGACGACAGTGACGATGGTGATGATGATGACAATGATGACAATGACAATGACGAAGACGAAGACGATGACAATGACAATGACAATCACAATGATAATGACAATGATGATGACGATGACGATGATGATGATGACGACGATAGGTTTGATCCTAGAGCTAAAATAAATCTTATACATTATCATAATGGTAATAGGGAACCAATAAATCCAAACTCTTCAAATGGAAATACAACTGATACTTACAAATTTTATGACACATTCACAAATCAGCAGTTTGATTTCAACTTGAAATTTAATTAAGATAAGAATATAAGAACATCATATGAAAGCCACTATATAAGAAAAGCATATATCTTGAGAAACACCTCCATCTAAGAACAAAATTTTATAAGAATATTCTTAAAAAGGTTACTTATTAGTGTAGTAATTTACAAAATTTTGTATAATTAAAATTATGTGACATTACCTCATCGTAAAAAAAAAAAATAATATTAACATGTACATCCATCAATTTTTTTTATCGTGTTAATATTGCTGTGTAGTGGTGATTGCAATAATTACAACGCGCATCGTCATTCTAGTTATTTAAAAAGAATGGTGGTGGTAAATACAGATAAATTCATCATTAATTATTATTGTTAATTATTCTTTCATCTAAAAATTTTTTTTCTTGAAACAATCTTTCAGAGGCTAATATAAGTGATGACAAAGCATTGACAAGCAAAGCAATGAAGAAATTTCAAAATTAAAAGTAAATGCAAAAGCCAATCCACCACCTGATGTGGATTCTGTGGGCCTCAATGGATGATTTAGTTCAATATACAAAGTATGTAAGACTATGGTTGTAATTTTAAATACTTGATTTATTCATTTGATTCATATTATACCTTTTTTTCTTAGAATGATGTAATTCTACTACTAA